AGGTCAAAAGAGTAATTTGTTGTTAAAATTTTCCCTCCCCTCCAAATTCCCTCACTTTTGGAGGGGAGCACATTTTCCCTTGGAGGAGGAAATTGAAGGAAAAATTTAAACCTCTCCCCCTTACAAAAAGTTGAACCAAATAAAGGGAAATAAAATTTTCCCTCCCCTCCCTTCCCCTCCCCTCCGTTTCCCCTAACCAAACATAGGCTAAGTCTTCTTTTTTATATTCACAAACCACACCAACTACAAATCATTACTCCGATCCCGAAGTCCTATGATGTTATCCCTAATGTATCTAGAGGTAGGCTTGCTTTGAGTAGTATAATTTTTTCAAGTGCTGGAGGCACGACCCGACCTGTTAAGACCACTGTTTTCCCTATCCATTACATGATAGCAAATCCCCATTACCAAACCCATTTGGACAACTGGATTAAGAAATCCTTTGAAACTACTTTACTTGGACGCGTTATTTATATAACTGGCTTTGGACTGTGTCCAAGACTCGAAATAAACCCAACGATAAGAAACAAAAAGGGTAGAGAAGGAAAACTCATAGAAGATGCTAATGTAGGAGCACAACACAACTATTCACTTTCAACCAACAACCAATTAAAAAAAGTAAATGTTTTTGGTAAAAAATCTGTCAAATTGTCTTGGGGTTAGATGAGTTTGCTCGGCCAAGTTCATCGGAGCAATTGGCCAAGATTTGTGGGCACGGTGAGAAACTAACGTTACAAAATTTTTTACGCATATGTTAAAAAGGGACAAAACGAAGCTATAAACTGCACCAAGTGATCGATCTCACGAATCAGACAAGTGCATGATGTCCGCATTTCATCTCTAATATGAATTATGCGGCACATTATACAAGGAGGCTGTTTCCGTAGCGACCCAAGGTGCATTGCGCCGTTTGATATATTTTTTCTAGAAACTTCACTAATAGAAGAAGCACTAGAAATTAATTGAGCCATTATTAATACTTTCTGCAAATAAACAAAACAGATATGGGAAAAGAGGCAATATTCACCAATCTGGTATAGTTGTTATGATTTATGAAACAAATAAAACCCCCACAATCATAGGCCTAGTTAGCATACTATTCACATCAATAATCTTTACACTTAAAAGTTACATTACTCCTTAAGTTCTGGTTCATAATGGGAAAACGAGAATGTCATCAAGCAGGAAAGGTTCACAACTAGAAACGCAATACATGAAGTCAGTAAGTCAGTAACAATACCAGCTCAAGGCACCTATTAGCAATTGATCAATTCTCCACTCGGAATCCCAATTTATAGTTAAAACACAAGCAAAGAAAACAAAAAAAAAAAGTTGATTTTTTATTAAAATCTGAAGAATCAAACACAACAAAGCTTCAGAAGAAATGGCCCCAATACATACAAGAACAGCTACAAATTTTTCCCACTGCAAACTACGCAATATATTTGTGAAAATTATATCAGCAATAAAGAAACTCTAAGAGTAATAAAAAGAGAGGTACAAGAAACATACGTTGCAAACTGTCTCAGTTCACATCCTTGAGTCTTTTTATCAAAGCATCCAGAGATTTCTTCTTAGGGTTCTGCTTAGCCCCTCTCGTCCCGAAAGATGAGAACAGCCTATCTGACTGGTCCCTCAACTTCTCAGAGACAGCAACCACTTTCCTATAATCCAGCGCATTATAACTCCTCTCCCTAATAACCGGGTTCAAGAAATTCTCCGGATGGTTGCTCAGCAGCAGATTCACCAACTGCCTCGACTCAACCAGCCCCGACTTCAACTCGTTCGCGTCCACCTCCGACAAAAGAGCTGCTGCTTGGTTCTCAGCAAACGACTCCAGCAGCCGTATATCAACATCGAGACCCATAATGGAATTAACATTGAACCTCTTAACCGACTCCCCCATCAAAACCCCAACAATGGTCTCCGATATATGGGCTAACACTTCTTGCAAAACTCTCTTCAGGACCTCAACGGGGAGAACCTGCTGTGCAGTGGAGACTAAAGTCTCCAAGAAAATAATGACCTCGTTCGCGTACTCATTCCCACCCTGCGGTGGTTCATCGGCCATCCAGTTCACATTCTCAATCAAAGACATGAATCCATCCACTTTTTGCTTCAGCAGGCCCGAAAGCGTGTCTTCAGCCGCTTCACGGGCTTTCGTAAGGGGAAACTTCCTCCGACCTCTCTCGGCCATCCTCAGGGGTATTCCTGACAGCTGTGCAGCATGGCGGAAGAAAAAGTCGCATGCTCGCTCAAAAACCGCCATGTTGGCAGCCATCTGCATAGCTTGGGTGACCCCGGATATCGAGCCATTGATAACTTTCAATAGAGCACCATCTAAGACCTCGGTCAGTAGCCTGTCCAAATACTTCCTGACCACATCATAATACTCGAGCTGACCGCCATATGACATGAAACTGACAGAGTCTTCAATAAACGAGCGCACAATCCTGCAGCAGTCAGGGACTGTGGACGAAAACGGGGCCACGTAAGGGAAAGCGGGCATGATATTGGATGTCTGTATCTGGAAGGAAAGCACATTCATCGAGTACTCATATTCCTTCTTCATGTACATCTGCTCGAACTTATCGGCCGCGAGGGCTTCGGCAACTTGTTTGCGGCAATCGGACAGCAGTAGCTCGTGGTATTTGTCCCTGTGCTTGCTCAGCACATCGAGCAAGGCATCTATCGGGTAACCGAACCTGCGCAATGTTACGCCAAGCAAGCTCACGTAATCTTTGATCAGCAACAGATGATTTGCAGTCTGCATCCTGGAGAACTGATCCTCCAGCACAGAGCACATCTTGCTCACAGCCGTGTCCCAAAGGTTTTCCACTTCCAGCCGCGATATCAGCCCTCCTCCGGTCCTCAGAACACGGTCCTCCACGATGAAGAACCCGGCAATTTGTGCGAAGAAAGTTTGGTGCGACTCGAGGAAAGGGGTCATGGAGGATACCTGGAAATCGGAGGTCAATTGGAGCTTCCTGTTCTCGAAATAATACTGCTTGAACCGGTCCTCGAGGCCTAGAGTCTGGTGTATGTGGTAGGCCCTGTACAACGGCGTCAAATCAAATCCTAGAACCCCGTTCCCACCGTTACTTCCGTCAATGACTCCGTCAATCTCGTCGTCGTCCTCTTCCTCAAGGGCGTACACGCAATCCCTCAAACTGAGGCGGCTCTGCTCTTCGGCTTGCCGCTGCTTAATCCGGAGTTCTTCTTCTCTCTGACGCGCCGCCGAGGCTTGTCCGATTGCGAGCTGACCTAGATTCCGGCTAACGGTTCGGATCTCGACCAGCCAATCCCCAAACTCCTTGCTCACTTTCCGCTCTATGTGAGCCCTAATCGACGGGATCTGTTTCTCCAGCATCCGCCTGAGGGTGGACGACGGCGTTTTGTCCTGAAAATTGGTCTCGATCGAGTCCACGCATTTCAACGCCATGTAGAAGTTGTCCCTGGTGAGATGCGAATTCGCGCGCGAGCAGAGCTCCATTAACTGGACGCAGGTGCTGAGGGAGTCAATCGCGAGGGCGATGTTGGAGCACTTGTTCTTGGCCTCGACGAAGGCGTCGAGGGAGGTGAGGAGCGGGACGGCAACGCTCTGGAGCTTGGAGTTGGAGTTGGAGAGCGAAGATTTGAGCGAATCGGCGTCGGACAGGAGGGATCGGAGATCGTCGACGGCCTGGATGAAGTCCTGGTAGTGGGCGCGGCAGACGTCCTCGATCTCCGATTCCTTGGACTTGGTGAAGTGCTTGAGGTGGTGGAGAAGGGTTTCTGGTTTGCCGGAGGCGAAGGCTTTCCGGACGAAGGGGCCGAGATCTTCGCCGTTGCAGATGGCGGCGGAGAGGAGGAGCTGGTCCTGTTTGTCGGCGGTGTCGCCGTTCTCCGCCGGGACGATTTTCCGGCGAGACTTGGTCGGATTCATCTTCGCCGGGTATTATCTTTTCGTTCTGACCAGTAAGCCGTCTGTGACGTGACGGGGCCGTTAAATTTGGAAGGGGTATAGAGAGTGGAGGGATATTATTGTGGGGAAAATGGGTAACGTGTGGTTAACTAATTAATGTATTTATTTTAATTGCAGGAAAATGCCGAAATTAGGAGGAAAATAAATTATTGCGAGATGCCACTGAAAAAAGATAATGCCGAATGCAGGAGGAGTTGTATCTGAAAGTCTTAACTGGCATGACCCATGTTTGAAAATGGGGAGAATGAAGCAGTGTTAAAACTCTTGAGGGAGAGTTTTGCCGTCTTGTGGTTCTACCCAACTCGATTTCGGATTAATCGGTTCCCCTGTGTATCTAGAAATCGGAAGGTCCTTGTATAAAAAAAAAAGTGGGGAGAAAAAATATTTAAAAATAGGCTGGAAAGATGAATTATTATTAACTTCTATAATTTTAATTTTTAAACCATGTAATATAGATTAATAAATAAATGTGATGTAATATAAAATATTATTTATAGTCCTTAGTTATAAATATATGGCTTAATTCATAGTAAAATTTATATATAAATGTGTAGTAATAATTATTTTTAATTTGAACAATACATCAACAAATTTGATGGAAAAAAAAATAAAAGAAAAAAGTCAAATTAGTTAAAACTAATAGTTTTACAAACATGTAATTATGAAGTATCGGACTTAGGTTCGAGACAAATGCATTTATATATGTTCAGAATATTGAATGAAGAAAAATGAAGTTTATCCATACGCAATAGGTTGTGTTTGGTAAGCATATAAGCTAACTCATAGCTCATTTGATTACCTTATAAGCTTTATTTATTCAAATAAAATTATTTTAGAAGAAAAAAATAAGATTTATCCTCATGATTTCCTTCAGGTAGTCGAGGTTTCGTTCGCCACTTTCAAGACCCCGAATGACAGAGCTCATGGTGAAAATTGCACTGGCGTCCAAGTTTTTTAGGAACTCCGGCATCTTTCGAAGGTCATCAAACTCAGATTTTCGACCCGAGGAAATGTACATCTCCTCCTCCTTTTTCCATGTATTCATAAAAGTAATGCATTTGGGCATCCAAAACCTCTTTCTCTTTTCTATGTTCCTCAATCTCATGCTTATATCTTCTTTGGAGAGCAGCATAGTTGGACCTAACCTTGTTGACCTCGACGATCAACTTAAAGTTCTCCCAACTTAAAGTTCTCCGAACTTCAGCACCTTGTTCTCTCCTTATAGGTCGACTGCCTTCTGCTCGAGAGTCGGATAACCTTGGAGTTGTTCATTTAGGTAAGTAATCTTCACCCTGCAAACCCCATGTTCGACTTTAAACATGTTGAAGTCACCCATGTAACATACAAACTAAGAAAGTCAAGAAGGGAAACAACTCCTATAAGAAGAGAATCAACTGCTAAGAAGCGAAAACAACAAAACACTAAACAAAAAACAGAAATACCAACATAAACACAACAACACTTGGATAAATAAACTAACACCCTCCTCTCATCTAGCAAACAAACAACAACAACCACGACCCGACACTCGAAGGTAGCCGCTCGAACGGATGGAACTCCGGCATGAGCATAAATTAGCCAATTATATAGTCGAAATTCTCATGGATTCACCCGACAATGACATGAAAAATGCCTAGGGGTTAAGTTTGGGTCTCATAGATGCTATTATATGACCCATGTGGGCCTAAGAATTACATAAATCTTGGGCTAAGGGGTGAAGTTTGGTCTACACAAAACCATGTTTGCTACCCAAATAACTACTCGAAGTAAAATGAAAAACACACCACTACAAAAACCCTAATTTCAGTTCACCACTGCCAATTTCCCACACTTTCGAGCAGGGCCAGCGTAAGCAGAAGGCACAGGAGCTATGGTAAGCTGCTGTATCCTCGTTTTTCTGCAAGAAAAATGCGCGATCACATTTCTAACAAATGTGTTTGTTTATTTGCTTATTAGGGCATCGACTTGGTCGCCGGAGGTAAGAGCAAGAAAACCAAGCGCACCGCGCCGAAATCCGATGATATATACCTCAGGCTCCTTGTTAAGGTATTTATTCCTGACTCTATTATTTGTTTTCGTTGTTGTCTTGTCTGCTGTGTAGATGAGTATAATATAATGGGGGTTTTAAATTGTTAAGAGATTGAGTTATATATGGTGATTTTTGCATTTGGGCTGGCAATTGGCATTCTAGTTGTACCGGTTTTTGGTGAGGAGGACTGGGAGCAGGTTCAATGCGGTGATACTGAAGCGTTTGTTCATGAGCAGGGTCAACAAAGCCCCCATGTCTCTATCCAAACTCATAGCACTCATGAAGGGAAAGGTAGATAATTTGTCTTCTGGATTTTCTTTGTTATGGTTCAGTTTGGTTTTCCGATTTATAAGAACAATTTGGGAAAATAAGAATTCGCTGTGCCGGTGATTACTGGATAGTTGTACAGAAATGAGGAAAAGGGCAAGTACTTTAGTATCACTTTATTCTTGAGTCGGGGTTATTGATAAATTATAGTTTTTATTTATCTGATTCAGTTGAATGATCTTGCTGTGAATCCTAGTTTTTATATGTTCAGATTCTAGGTGATTTGTTTCAAACATTCTAGTCAGTACGATTTCCATTGGGGGTAATGTTGATCTATGTTAAATTTTTAATTTTGCTACGATTTTTTTTTTTTTTTCAATCGATTTTTTAAACTGATTTTTCAATAGGAGGACAAGATTGCAGTTCTTGTCGGGACTGTTACTGATGACATTCGAGTGCATGAAGTCCCTTCTCTAAAGGTTACTGCTTTGAGGTTCACTGAAACCGCAAGGGCCCGAATCGAAAAGGCCGGTGGCGAATGCTTGACCTTTGACCAGCTTGCACTTAAAGCACCCCTTGGGCAAAACACAGTAATGATTCTTCAAAGTTGCTTACTGCTAGTTTCTTGGTCTGACAAAACATGCCAATATATATATATATATGTGTGTGTGTGTGTGTGTGTGTGTGTGCGTGTGTGTTTCTTAAATCATATTTCCAAAAGGTCATGTTTCGAGTTGTTTGAATTGAACTTTGTTTCCCTTGTGCTTGAAATCATCCTTCTCGTGAAATTTGGTTATGGCAGTTATTTGCATGATGCAAGTAAAATCAATTTCCACTTTTCGAGCAGAAATTAAAATGGTGTTCTATACTTGAAACACATTCTAGAACCATAATTCGTGAAAAATGTGGTTGCATTAGGATGCCTTTTGTCAAGAGTAATTATGATACAGTTTTAACACCAGTATGTTGTTTTACAGGTTCTCTTGAGAGGTTCAACCAAGGCTCGTGAAGCAGTGAAGCATTTCGGCCCAGCTCCTGGTGTTCCACACAGTCACACGAAGCCCTATGTGAGATCTAAGGGAAGGAAGTTCGAGAGGGCTCGAGGCAGGAGAAACAGCAGGGGTTTCAGGGTTTGAGTTGTTTGCTGCTGTGGTCCATTATGATTTTTTTGTTCCAACAGATTTTGGATGCAACTTTTATCTGCACCATATACTTTTCTTCTGTGTTTGCATACATTTTGTGCAATATTATTGTTGAATCTAGTTGCAAAGTTTTGACTGCTAAGTACCCTCATTTTGTATTGCTATCTCCATAATACAATTATGTTGTGCTGCTGTCTATTTATCATTCTTCTGAGTAGTCATAATTTTACTTGACAAAGGGAAGCTGTGTTGTTCTGCACAAAGCTCAGATGAGTTCTTGGATAGAGCAAGAATTTGTGATGATTCCAGTGCCATTACTCTAAAAGGAAAGAATAAAGTATAAATTTGGCAATGTACACACAAGAGTCGTAGCTAATGTGAATTGGAAGTAGGTTTTCTTTAGAGGAATTTGGAAGTAAGTTTTTTTTAGTGGATTTGATTTATTGGTAGAGTGAGTTCGAGATTGAAAAGTCGGTTAAGTGGAAGTGTGTTTTTTAAGGTTGAGTGGAAATTTGAATATGATATGTACTGATTAAAGGTGATGTGATGCAAAAGTAATGAACGAGTGATAGTTATGAGTGGATAAATATTGATTTCTATTAGAAATTGTGATTGACGGATGAGAATTGAGTTGATTTATGAAATTGAATTTTGAGTAAAAAATTGATAAGCAAGTTCATGCATCATTAGTGCTCATGTATAGAAATATATCTATATCTATATAAATATAAAAAGGTTTGATAATTACTTGAAATAGTATATAAATTCCCGCCTAAAAATTTTAAAGTTACTAAACTTGGTAATATTTTTTGAAAATTTTCAAAAAATCCCGCCTAAATATAATTTTAAATTTAAATATTTAAAGGACTAAAAAGATCACAATCAGAAAATTTTTGATTACATTCCATCATATCTAACTATCATATAATTTCTTCGATATTTTTTAGGAATATAATCTTGATTAAAAATAAGAACAACAAAGCCTCTAAATTATACTAGTATCTTCACCCGTGCGATGCACGGAACATATTTATTAAAATATTTTAATAAATACATTAAAATATATATATATATATATATATATATCATAAAAAGTAAATGA